CAAGCAATTTTGTTGTTGTGATTTTTACCGCTGTTTACTCTCGCCTTCACTCATCCATTCCACCTTTCCGCTGACTCCTCACCTCCAAATACCCAACATTTCAGTAAAGTGTGTCCAAACTGCTGACCCGCGCCCCGACTCATCACCTCTGCTGTGTTTATCATAAGCTGTTCGTACCTCATTTATACAGTTCATCAAAGCGCAGTAAACCTGGGAGAGATCGGGGCTGCTTTACAACCTCCCCCCGTCAGCACACTTTCTTCATCGCATAATTACTCCACGTTGACAAATTGAAGTTTCATCCGCTGCAGCAACTAAAAGCACTGAACCCACTTTAAAGAGGCAGGAGAAGTAATTTATCATAATAATAATGCATCAACTGTGTACGACTGAGTACTCATGGGGCTTCGTGCTACGAGATAGAGGGGAATGTGGAATATAGGTTATGGCTGTTACTCAAATGTCTGTAACGTTCTCACGGCAGCCAAGTTTCACTCGAAGGTAAAATGCGATAATTATTTGCTTTCAAGTAATTAGACATGAGTTTACATTTGTCAGTCATAGAGTTAAAGAGAGCCTTGTGGGCTAAATGTGTCATCTGTATACGGCCTATACTTAAAGAAGACATATTATGCTGCATTTTTGACTGTTCAAAATTATAATGAGGCTATTTACTTTTTATGTTTTAGAAAGTGAAATCTTACTTTAAGAATAAACTATATGGTTAAGCAAGTATTAAGGATAAAAAATCTTTTCCGCCTGTAACTCCCTATGCTACCACCGGAGAAAGTAGAATTTGTTGCGGTTTTTTACCAAATTTGATCATTACTGACTGCAACTACAGTAATTGTAAAGCTTTAAACTTGATTTACTTAAGGTCACACAATGCACTTAACAATGTATTTAGAGTACAGATATTTTTCCATGCAATCCTCGCAAAAACTGAAGCAAGACGTCAAACAGTCTGGTGCATCGAAGCTTCCGAACAGCGTAATTCGTTTTCTCACTCATAACATTCAGACCCTTTAGCAATAGTGGAATCCAGAACAACCAGAGTAAAGATTTGAGATATTGCTGAAACTAATTTAAGGGAAATAACTTTATTTTAAAAGGCAGACAACTGCTCTGAGTGTGGTGTCATAGTGGTACAATGACTGCTTTTAGACAGAAGGGGCAGAGTTACATGTTTGTGCTACATTCTGTGTCAGAAGTTCCTGTTTAAGAGATCCTTTATACGTCCCACCGTGGGGGAAATTTCAGTTTTGTTGCATCACCAGTTACCAGTTACAGCACAAGATAAGTGCACAATAACTCTATACGAAAATAAATACAAATCTGACTTTAGCATTTTAACAAAAGCAAAATCTCAGACTTCAGCAGAATAACATGCTGATATTAGCATGGATGGATATCAAAGCAACTCGTTGATAGGCAAACATTGTTGTGACATGGTTGAGAGAAAAAGTACATTTTCAGAATATTTTTCCGTTAATGCCATGGGAGAACCTTGTTTGGAGCAATGATCTGCCGCCTTATAGAGCTTTGGGAGCCATCGCCAAGTCTTGAACTCGGCCTGTCAGGACCACCTTTGTTGAAGTATTGCCTGCTGTTGTGGTGGTGTGTGTGGATCAGGGGAAAAAGGGGTGGAGAGCTGAGAGTTCCGGCACCATGGAGCAATTACTTTTATTTATTTCCGCGCGTCTCATTAAGCAATGAATCCCTATGATTGCTCAAGGAGGAGCTCGGTAGCAAACAACAAAGAAAAAACTATTTGCATTTGCACATCTCTTTTGGTTGTTTTGCGATCAATCATTCTGCCAACTATTTTTATATAATAGCTAAACAGAGTAGAATTGTCAAACTTTTTACCAGTCGTGCTTAATTGGCAAACTGTCACTCTTTCTTACAAGCTTATTAGCTGCTGCTCATTCTTTGCTGCAGCATCAAAGATAGATTCTCAAAATACCTCATCATTAATCTTTGACCAGTCCGTAGCCACTCCCTGTATTTTAATGAGCTTCTGAGTACTGTACTGACAGCTGTAAACGTCATCTCTTTCTGACATTTTCTCCTTCAATAGCACCTTTTCATGCAAACTAAGACCAAAACGGGTACAATAAGGCATGAGATCAGGTGGGAAGAGGAGAAATCAATTGGGGCGGCTCGAGGAGGAGAAGGAGGAGGAGGAGGCGGCATTATACTTTCGACCCCCCAGCGCGGAGCAAAGCCTGCCACTTGCCTCCGATCAATAGGAAGTCAAAGAGATGCAAACTTGTGCTGGGGATAAGTATTAGACTCCACACTGGGGCCCTCACAATGTATGAGCTATAAGGTGACCCACAAACCTGGATTCATCCTCCGATAGGCTGGAGGCGAGCAGCTGGCCTTTGAGCATATATATGAGATTGATTATAGGCTTTGGACCTAAAGTCACACAAGTAAAGGTTACTGGATGTAGCTATAAAGGTATAGTGGTATAAACAAAAGCTGGATTTCATGGTGTTATTAATGTCACAAGCAAGAAACACTTTTGTTGCAGCCAAAAACTAATTTTTAAGGGTACTTTGTTTTGTTTTTACATAATGTTAACTTACAGTGTCTGTGCTTGTAGGGCCTACTTTATCTTTCTGAATGTTTGAGTGGGAACTAAAATCCATGAACACATCTCTTTTCCTTTGAGTTGTTGCAGTTATTCATGCATGCAATCTTCCTTTAAACTTCCTCAATGTAGAAATTTAAGTTGAATTATAATAATAGTACATTGGTTTTATATAGAGCTTTCTGGACACTCAAAACTTTTCACACGGCGTTAATCAATTACTTGAGCTACGTCTATGTCTTGGGGCAGACAGGTAGAAGCGAGGCAACCCAAATGTGCTATTAGCCCCTCTATCCACCCCTTCGTTCACCACCAACCATTCACTCATACACTAGATTCATGCAAGGGCAATGTGGTTGACGTGTATTGCCTAAGGGCACAACAACAGTTTGTCACTTCACAGCTGTAGCCGCCCCATTTGTGTTTCTAGAGGTCTCCCATCGCCATACTAACCAGGCCCTATCCTGCTTAACTTCTGAGACCTGCATGGATAATGAAGGTCTTCTTTAACACAATAGTATGTCACTTTCTGGAGGTGGGAAATCAGCGGTATGATTTCATGGAGATAAAGCCGTTAAATACTAAATACTAAATACTTTTTATTTTATTATTATTATATACGTATTTGTAATGAATTCTTAGCCAGCAACATGTCCATGTATATAAAAAAATTGGGCCTTTTTTGTCCATGTCCTCTCGCAATTGGGACATGTTTTTAGATTTTTTTCAGTGACATAAAATTCTTCAAAGGGAAAGAAAATCAACTATTGTGGCAGCCTATTTTTTGACCATCAACTCACGTACCAGGTTTCTATGAGCCACATCCTCCTCACGTATCATTTGGTGTATTCTTTAGTGCCACTTTATTACATTACTGCGTTACATTGACAGCTGTATATCAACGTGAACGCTTAAATGAACCAACAGAACCCAGCAATCGCGGGGTTAACTCCGCTCTAGCAGCTGGTGATTCATCAACAGTTATCAGCTGCCAGTGAGCCGCTGCATCACATTCTCCTCTGTAAAGCGTGTTCATTACTGTGTTAATTGAGAAACCAACTTCACGGGCAGACAAGCGCCGCGCTCCTCTTGACTTTCCAAACTCTCCGTCAGACTGGCTGTGATTTATTCCTCCCGTCATAAGCTCAGATCAGAGCGCGTAAAGAGCTGATGGAGTCGAGAAACATTGTTAGCAGGAGAAGGGGCATGGTAAATGATGTGGGTAATGCCTTGTGGTGTCAATGACTTTATGTTGAGCGCAAAAAAACAAAACAAATGTGGGATTATCCTAAAGGCGGCTGTTTGTGGGAGATTTTGTTCATAGCTAAATAATTTGCATTTGAGTTGAGTTGAAAGTGTAAAAAACAGCTGTAAGTTTGTGTAAGCTCTCAGTCGTACAGGGGTTAGTCAAAGCAAAGGAAGGTTTCTCACCCATCATCTGTACTTCTTAGCAGGTTTTTCCAACGTTTCGTTCTTCGTCGAAAGAACTTCTTCAGGGAATGAGATCTCAGACTGCGCTGACTAACCACGCCCATAGGTTATAAATCTCCAACGCTGAGATCTCATTCCCTGAAGAAGTTCTTTCGATGAAGAACGAAACGTCGGAAAAACCTGCTAAGAAGTACAGATGATGGGTGAGAGACCTGCATTTGCTTAAGTGTCAAATAGTGACTCACAGGGCTTGTATGACATCATGTGGTGGTCTGATTCGTTCACAACATTTTTAATTTTACAAGACTCTTTCGCGTGAGTCGCGTGGTCCTCTGTGTGTTTATTTGATTTTTATATATGTGTGTATTTATTTAATTGTTGCCATTTTAGCTTGTTGTACAGCACTTTGAAACCTGCCTGTCTATGAAATGTGCTATATTAATAAAGTGGATTGAATTGAGTGGATTGGGACAAACAACATGGATTATCTATTGAGGAAAAAAGATAGGTGCCCCAGTTTTATTTAAACTATTGTAGAAACTTAGTCGTTATCTTTATGATTTTTGTATTCAAAGTTGTATTGGAGTCACGCATTGTTCAGCCATGTTTAGTTTTCTGCATGCTGTTGTTTTTGGGTTTTTTACCTTTGTTTGGCCATAGAAAACGTATTGAGACGCAAAGAATCATAGATAAACATAATAATCCTTGATGGGTGAAAGAATACATGAGAAGAGAGTTGCTAATTTGTCAGTAAAATACCATAATCTAACATGGCATAATTGTATATAATCACAGTCCAGATATTTCTGTTTGCGCTGCTTGCACTTTATCGTCTTGGGCCACAGCTTAAAGCACTCAATGTCACCGCTGCCGCTGTGTCACTGAATTAAAGTCACTCACATTGGAACATTAGAAGGCTTTATATTCCCCCTGGTCTCATTCGGATTTCTCTTTACTTTTCTGCCCACAGTGCCGCCTCAGATCGTGGTGAGGCCTCGGGACCAGATCACAGCCCCTGGACGGACTGTGACCTTCCTCTGCGGGACTAAGGGCAACCCACCGCCGGCTGTGTTCTGGCAGAGAGAAGGGAGCCAGGTACAGAGAGGCTGGGAGCTGCGGAGATGTGGTTTTTACAAAGGATTGGAGCAGATTAAAGGATACTATTAGCAAGGAAACACATGTACCTCTATAAATGCATGAAGTGCTATGTGCCTCCAGGGCTACCCAAGGAGGTTAGACAGTTTAGAGAAGTTTTCCTTGTGGTTTCTTTTCTTTACTTAACTTTTATATATGGTTAACAGCATGTTCCTTAAAGGCTTAATGTATGCGTTAAAGTTAAAATACCCGACTTTGGAACTACAACAAAGTATCTGCTGGTATGTGACGCATTCCATGTAACTATTCCTTGTTCAAATCAGATTAGTAAAACATAAATTGTTTTCTAGTAAGATATAAAGACAGCATGTTGTGGTCTGATTTGTTCATAAAATAGGACTTTATCTGTTGGAACAAATTAGGGGCGACAGTAGCCAAGTTGGTAGAGCATTGGCCTTTGAGCCTGAAGGTCGTGGGTTCGAGCTCACCTCAAGACTTTCTCCACCGACTCCCACTGATAACTGCTGTCGTTGTGTCCTTGGCAAGATACTTGACCTCTGGGAACACCTGCTGCGGCTGTAAAGTTCCAAACTGCCGTTGTGTCCTTAGGCAAGACACTTCACCCCCATTGCCATTGGTGGTTGGAGGGGACGATGGCACAGACTGGTTGCCTCGCTTCTGTCAGTGTGCCCCAGGGCAGCTGTGGCTACAGTAGTAGTTTATCACCACCGTGTATGGAGTGAATGAATAATGACATGTGAAGCGTCTTGTGTCCAAAAAAGCGCTATATAAAACCGATGCATTATTATTATTATTCATAAATTAAATGTATTCATGAAACTCAAAAGTTAGGTACTACAGCTTTAAAATATATGAATTAAAGTAGTAGTAGTAGTTTTTTCAACTTTTTTGTTATTATGTATAAACTTTATTATAACCATTAAAAGTCCTGATGGATTGTAATTTATGTACACAAATGACATGCAGTTATAAGGAGATATTTGTGGTAAATTTATAGTAAGGACCTAATTAGAGAATAATTTGTTAATAACGGTCTAACAAATGTAATGACTTCAACCATCACTTATGTGCAAAAACAGTGTTGCCGCATGTTTTTTTAGGGTTTTTTTTCTCAGTAAACTTCTTTCAAAAAACTGCTAAAGTTATTGCCACCTTAAAAAAAGAAATACTAAATAATTCCTTCAACAGTTTCTTTTAAAATAGCTCTCACACGACACTTGCTTCCTCATATGTAAGGCATGTGTAAGGGCCCTGCATCACTTTGCTCTAATCAAGGTTTTTTCCCCACTTCAACGTTGCTATGTATGCGTGAAACCTATGCTTTACGCCGTGCTGCGAAGCTCGACGATGACGTGCGTGGGTTCTCAGGTTTAGATTAAAAGAGCAGGCGGAGGAGTGGGGGCCCTTATGTCGGGTGTACAAGTGCGATAAAGCCAAAGAATGGTCGCTGCTAATGCGTGGGAAGCTTGCTGGTAAGATTGCATTATATTTTAGCCATCACAGCCAGCATATTTCAGGTTGACAAATGGAAAAGAAGGATATTGAAGGGTCATTATCTAATCACGACTGGCAGGCTTATCATATCCACCGTGAAGCAGGCAATCCAGTCCCCCTCGCCGCCGCCGCGCTATTATTAATTTGTCATGCTAAGTACCTCGTAAGTAATCCTATGGTGCTTCATGTAATAAATACAGCTTTACAATGTACAGTCGGTGTAATGAAACGGATAATAACTGGGTAATGTTGTGTAAGGCTCCATTTGTTTTCAGTTTTAAAGGAAGCCCAGCCCCGGTGATAAACTCTTTTTTTATGGCAGACATATTATATAATCTCTTCAGAATGTTTCAGACTGTTTACGCCATACAAGCCGTCTTAATTATAGACGGCATTCGCTTTGATGCTATCCACTTAGGCATCATTTCATCTTCATCTTTTCAAAGGATACACATTCACCTCTTTCATTGTAGCCTTACATTCACCGTTCAATCTTTAAACCTGCATTCTCCAATTCATTTCATATTTTTCAAAAGCCTTGACACTGGGAATGAAAAAGCTCATGACATGATATGTGTGTTGCAGAAAACTTAAGAAATGCACTTTTTTTAACACATTGAATCATGTATTTTGCAGATCCTGCTGTTCCCAGTGCAGGAGGCAGCACCGGCAAGTCGGTTTTCAGTGTCTCTGACCGGTGAGCTGACCATCCTCGATGTCCAGGTCGAAGACTCCGGTTACTACATTTGCCAAGCCATCAGTGTGGCGGGCAGCATCCTCACCAAAGCTCTGCTCGAAGTGGAAAGTGGTAAGTGCACCATGTTTTTCTTCAACACTGACACTAAAAGATGAGACCAGACATGGAACATTGAGCTAGTTTTGTTCTGCTATAATCTTCAGTCAAATAGAGAGAAGTTTGACAGAAATCACCAGTCTCAGCCAAATACGTCAATGGCAGTCAATGAGCTAAGCATAAGTTTATAATGATAATCTTAACTGAACGGCTCAGTTGTCCTGGATGCAGATGTTGAGCTATTTACTAATATTCATATAAAAATAAATCAGTTCTTTTCAGTCTGTCTCTTATGTCTCCGGTCTGTGCTGCCTGTTTCCCCTCACTCCCAAAGCTATTTGTTCTCTATTTTGATCACTTTAACAGTGTTAATTATATTATATATCATTATTTATGCCATAAAAAACCCTTTTAAAAGTCAAATGTAAATCTTTCCCCATATATACAAAGTATCATCAAACTTTTTCAGAGCCATTTATTTCCTAGTTCTGTGAAGCACCACAAACTTAAAAAATAAATCATATCCAACACACAGGATAAGATAGGAGACTTGGAGGGACGTATAGAGCAATTCAACTTATTTTTCCTTTTTGGACAGCCATGTCCTCTGGGCCGGATAATTGGACAATGCATCACCACTTTGAGTTTGGCGTCGCAGCAAACACCATATAACACCAAATCTGATTCTGTTACAATTTTAAAGCAGCTACTTTATTTCACAGAAAAAAAAGCAGATTTATTAAACAGTAGACAATCAGGGAAGGATTACTACCAGCCATATATACTTAGGAGTCAAGCTAATTTTCACATGGACTGAGAACAAAAAATGCATATAGAAATAATTAGATTGGGGTCTCCCAAAAAAACAAAACAAAAATGTGCTTACCCTGTTGAAAACTATTGCTTTTAGGCTCATTCAATTTAGTTGAATGAAGGTAAAACTACTTTTTAGACTTTACTTCCTAATATTTGATTATTTTCCGTTTTCAATTGGGCTGGAGGCAGATTAGATTGTCCCGAGGGAATGATTTGGCGCCCGGGCTTTAAGTTGAATATGGTATAGAGAGACAGTAGAGAGAGAACACATTAACTCAATCATATGGTTAGTATCAAACAATATCACTCAACTATAATACGTTGAGTGTTGTATTACCAGCAGATAAACTATGGCGCTAGTAATATGCACACAAACCATTTCAAAATCGTATTCAACATTGCCAAACCAGTCTTCTCCATATCACTAATCATGAAATTACAGCTTTACAGCTCTGCGGCATCCCACAAAATGGCTAAATACCATTCCCAGTGCACTTTACCAAAATAAAGTCCATGAAAATCTTTCCAATCCAGCTGAAATTAAAACACACTTTCCTCAAATGAGCAAACAGCAGGAGCTCTTATCGGATGTAATCAAAAGGGACGAGTGGTGATTGTGCTATGCAAATAACCCGGGCTATAGCATATGCCGCCTGCACCCCATCCCTCCCACTTCTGGAGTAAACAGGGATTTGCTTTTAATTTCTCACATTTGCACTGAGCTCCTTATGCAGTGCCTTGTGTTTTACTGCGAGTGAATGCAAATCAGCTTGTGCCTCTTTACTGCTAAGCTTTTAAGATTTCCCCCGGTCACTTATGTGTTTGTATACAAGTTTCATAGGTGGAAAAGTATGTTGATTATATTAATTTCTCAAAGAGTTGAAGTTTCTGACGTTAAAGAAAATGTTTTATCACAGTGGTTTTCTGGTATGTTCACACCGAGGCATTGGAAACATGTGATTCCAGGATAAATATGTTCATGCAGTATTTTACTTTGCGATCACTTATCTCCTCACTGACCCTTCTCCACACTGCTTCATACACCACATGTTTGTCCTCCAAGTTGTCTTAGCCTATTGCGTGATTTTCTGTTCTTCCTGGTGTGACTATCCATGGTGTCTGCTGTCCGATGGTCTGGGTGTCAAATATCTCTTTGCATGTAATTGTGACCTTCCTTCAGATCGCTAGTCATTTGCTGCAAAAATGAAAACCAGCTGTCATGCTAGCCCCTAAATGCAACTCTCAATATGATGTAGAACTTGTCTTTGGTGTGGAAACATGAAGACTGTGTCCGAGAATAGCTTTTCATTGTAATGATGCTATGAATAGGATGGAGTTCTATTTGTGTGCGTCTATGCAGTGTTTCAAGTTTACTCAAAGCCTACTTTACGATTACATTACATTACGAGCGTCGCTTACTGTAAATTGAAGGTGAAGTTGGTCGCATATGTATCCAGATGTAATGTCCAGATGTTAATGGTGTAAGCTAAAGGGTTGGGGTTAGGGTTAGCATTTTGTTTTTCTCAGCATAAAGGTTCTGGGTTTGAATTCCGGTCGGAACTGGGCCTTGTCTGCAAATGTTTCCTCTGGCTGCTCTGGTTTCCCTACCACTGCAAAAATGTCCAATAGGTTATATTGTACATTTTTTCACCAATAGGCAATATTGTGCACTGATCCTGACAGAGGCCCTAGTGGCATTCAGGATGGATCAAATGCTGAGGACAAATCCCCTTAAGGGATAATAAAGTAACTCAAAACGCACGTCCCATAGAATTTGGACCTAAACCTAACCCATTGAGGCTTTTAGACGGTGTAATATCCTTGTAAAGTCATTGCAGTGGATAGATAGGATGTGAGGAATGTGAGGGGGGGAGGCAAGAACTAAGCTTGGACTGGAACTAATTTGCGACAAAGTGTATTTTTGACTATTTCAATACAGTAAAAAGCATGTAGCGCAGGCCCTTTAACTTACATTTGACCTGAAAGAACATTTTTCTCACCAGCCTGTGCAAAGCTGCTAATTGAAGCTCCACACAGATTGCATATTACTGCACTAAGTTGACAAAGCCGGCACTTATGTTGTACCACAAAAGCTCTCGATTTATTTGCCTTGTCTAAATTCAGCTCCATACCTCAGAGTGGCTGGCAGCCTTTTACACCGAACTGTTTATATTCTCAGACATACAGACATGCGGCAATGCCATAAAAGTCCATGCGTCCTCGCGCCCGCTCTATAAAGATGTCACAGAGAAGCGAAGGTCAAGGCTGGTTTTCCCCCACTGTTTAAAACATCCATTTAGCAAACACAACTTAAGATGTGGCTGCAGATGAGCTGCCAGAGCGAGGGAGCGCGTTTGAGTGGAAACTACTCTCAATTATGCTACTCAAGCTAGTGTTTTGTAATCGTTTCATTATTAGTGAAAGGGCATAATAAGTCATATTTGTTTGTACTGAATCCTCATTTGTTATGCTAAAAGTTGATGATTTTCTTTTATTTGGTTCTAACTGGAATTTCAACACTTTACGAGGCATGGCTGGAATGTGTATCAGTAAGAAAAGCCACAGCATAACAAGTAGACACGGTTAAAAAGTGTAAATTCTCACTATGAGCGGGGTTGCATCTCCACAAGCCTGATTTGTACTACTTGTTTGTAAGATGTGTCTGTTGTGGCTGTAATCTTAAACACTTTGATATAAAACTACTGCATGTCCATTGAAAATGTTCCAACAATTTGCTTTAACTTTCCACTGAAGTTATAATGTTCAGACAACAGCACTTAGCAAAGTAGAGTTCCCTTCACAACAACCCAAACATTGCATTTACAGACTAAGCATATTATGGCCACGTAACCCAGTGACCTCTTAACATGCATTCACCTTTGCATTCACTAAAGAATATGCTTTTATGTTTTATTCTTTAAACTTGATGATATATCTTAAAACTTCACCATCAGATACAGTGAGCTTTTTTTTCTTTTTTTGATAAATAATGCCATATTGTAGAAGCGTCCAGTCAAAACTATTAGATAACATATACAGTAATTACAATCAAGCAATCATGTATTACTTGAACACATACTTGCTTTTTGTTACACTTTTTACGTCTTATTTGTCTGAAAATGCCTTTATAATGTTGATTGATTGATTTAAAAAACTAACTCTGAGTTCTAAAATGTCATCCCTCCATCTATAGTTTTCCATTTTAAATATATAGACCTAAAACATTCTATTCAGTTCATAATAATTGTGTAAAGATTGTATAATTGTACAAGTTTACCTCTTGATACACACTCAGGCCCATGTCCATCAAGTAAAAACGTAAAAAACTTCCCAAAATAAGCAAAAGTCCCATATATTTTTTACCTTTTCATGTAACGTGTAGCCTGACCATGCTTTTCTTATACTGACATACATTTTGCAGAACTGTGACTGCTTTGAAGCTGGTCTACAGTCAACGCTTCCATAACTCTTACTTTCCATATGATTATAATAGCCAACACCATTTCAGCAAAACGGAAAAGGGAAGAAAAAAAAACGGTGTCATCAATTTGCATTATGAACTGGGACAGGGCCGAGGAGAGTTGGACTTCGGAGACCCGGTGAGCGCATGTCCTTTCGCGTGGTGACATTTCACACTTCATGTAGCCAGCTTGCTGAGTTTTTCATTTCCAACCATCGTGCAGTGGAGGAGAGGAAAGCGTTGACTTTGGTGTCGAGAAAATTCCAAAAGAACAGCGTGAAAGATGTTGTTTATTTTTAGTCGTCATTGTCAGGCATGGAAGTCAGATAGAGCGGGCGGGACGGGAATTTTCAATGTGGAAATTGCTTGGGGAGTATTGGTTTTTTTTTAATGTGGCGTGCAGTCATAACTAGAGCATTGGCAAGGTACGGATGTGGTGGATTGTACTATTCCAACTATTTTATCAATTGGAATTCATTTTGAGCAGAGTAAAATTTTAAACCTCAGGAGCAGATTTTGGAAGATCAGAGATTGGCCTGTGGCTATAACCTCTCTAATAATACATTTAGAGAAATACAATATGTGTCCCAATTCAATTCAATGTATTATTTTATAGTCATAAATATATCTGAGGACTTTACAAAACCGTTAAATTCGCCAACACAGATCAGAGAATCAAACCGTTCAAACACAAGAAATAAAATCCCATTGCAGTATGTGTAGAAACATTGGAAAGTAGCTCTGAGCAGTTTGTACGCTTACGAAAAATGTCTATTCTAATTGTTTGGCTTTTCCCATGACCCGCCCAAGTTATATTTAGGGAGTTTTAATTGCCATCGATGCACGCCAACGATTCTTTAACTGACAACTTTCTGTCTGGATTTTTGCCGCTCTGATCAGGCCTTTTGATCATGTTCATAATGTCCTACTGCCAAGAGGGAAATGCAAATAAAATAGTAATAACATAGTTTTCAATGTGGAGGTCAGTGAACAAGTTCTTAAACAATATTGAGATTTAAGATGTCGGGGTTATAACTCCCTGTCCTAGATTTGTCAGAGAATAGAATTAGAAGGTTCTATCTTTTGTTTAATTGTAAAACATTTTTCACTCCTGGTTAAATGTAAATGTAAATGTGCATTTTATTGATCCCCGTAGGGAAATTTGTCCTCTGCCATCCTGATGCCTCTAAGGCTTACGTCCAGAGCAGTGGTCGCCATAGTACAGCGCCCGGGAACCCATCTCCAGATGTTAATGCTCGGCTTGGTCAGGACTACCGTGGCTGGAGGATTTTACCTAGTGAGCATATTTTTAGTGGTAGGGGAAACCGGAGCACCCAGAGGAAACCTACACAGACATGGGGAGAACATGTAAACTTCACTCAGAAAGGCCCTGTTCCGACCGGGATTCAAACCCAGGACCCTCTTGCTGAGAGGCGAGAGTGCTAATCACTCAGCCACCGTGCCGCCCGTTACCTCCTGTAGACATCAGCATTTTCATCGGTTTCTGTGCTTGTCTTGGGTTTTTATGAATACAAATTTGCCTATTCCAGTACAGCTTATGAATGGTCAGAACTGTAGACCTCAGAGCAACCCAAAACACACCATCTAATCTGTATAAACTACACTTTTGTCTTCTAGAATGTAATGATATCTAACTTCTTACCCATTTGTCTCACAGCCCCGTCTGACCGCGTCCCTCCCATCATACGCCAGGGTCCAGCCAATCACACGCTCGCCCGGGGATCCACTGCCCAGCTGCACTGCCACATCCTGGGCAACCCCTTACCCAGCATCCAATGGGAGAAGGACGGCCAACGTATCCTCGGAAACGACGGCCGCGTCAGTCTCATGGAGAACGGCACCTTCCAGATCACCAACCTCCAGGTATTTGTTTCTTTGATCCATGGCATTGTGCTTTTCAGTTGTCCTAATCAAAAGTTTCAACTGCGGGGACCAAACATCACCTCCAAAAAAATTAATAAAATAAAAACGGAAAAACCCAACTTCAAACAACTGCACACACTCAGCTTTAGACATCATTGTAAGATTGAAGTGGGAAAAGCCATTGCAAAGGTGTCCAATTGTATATTAAATCCTGAATAATACGTCTGCTTTATGAAAAAGTTTGTGTAATTGCTTTCCTCTCCCTGGTGACCTCCCGTTTCGAGTTTCTTCATGTTTATTCCCACTCAACGGCTCCATTCCATCAAACCGGCAAATTTATGAAAATGTATTCACACTGGTAGGTATTAGTATTTGCACATGAAACAAAAACAAAACATATTTGTCGATAACATTTTTAATTACCGCCAGAGAATGAGGCACTTAACGCAGGGGGCAAAGTCAAATTACGAGCTTTTATGGGCGAAAGGGCGCGATGCGTACGTCAACCGCATTGTAGAGACACGGGCTACATGCTAATGAGGGAGCTGAGCTATTAGCAGTGGTTAGCGGCTTCTTGGTCCATGCTAATCCAATCTATTCCAGCCAAAGACCCCCCCCCCCCATCACACCCTTCCATCTGGGCGGAAAGCCGCACCTGGGGTCACCACCACATAAGGGAGATCACGCATTAATTGATTGTGGGTTCTCAATGATTAACGATCGCTGCGACTCGTAATTAAATCCGCGATACATCAGCGTGCGCGAGGATGGGACGGTGCCAAATGGAGATGGAGGAGAGCGAGGCGAAGATGTGCGCCGGAGAACATGGAGGCGGTACATGACAAGCCCAGGGAGACAGACCGACTTGTTAGTGTGGCTGTCTGAAGTTGTCAAGAGCGGAAGTGAAGGTGCAGGCTTGAGTTTTGATCCAGAATCGGCACAACAAACATGCGCGCCCTCCGAGACAGTGATGCGCTTGAATCTATCGCTCAGCTCTGCAAAAGGTGAGGCTTGTAAAACTATTTGTAGAATGCGAGCGGGCCTGCCGTGCGGAAAGCTGTCAGCGGAGTCCGACGCTGAACGAGCTGAAGTGTTGCATTACTAAATGAACCATGGCATCAACAAGCACGTCTTTGTATTTATGTGGAAATCTACAAATATTTGCCATCATTTGAGCCTTTTTGAGTCCAAATGTTCAGTTTGAGTCCCCTCCTACACTGTTCTCAATGATATAACAAATCAATATGAAGTAACTACAGCATGAGGAAGTAGATGAACATATAATAATCATATAACATGAATAGGTGGCATTCATGGTATAACATCAACATTCCAAAGAGTCTGTAGTTTAAAAGTGAGGTCCAGGGCAGCAAAAATAATCTATGCTGATATCTCTGGTGACTGACAAGAGACTTCTAGTTTAGATCTAATTTCACTGTAATCTGTGGCAACTTTGGTCTAATTATTTTCTTATAAAGCTGTCAACATTGGAGAAAAAAAAAAGGTGGAATTCTAATCACCAATAAATGATGATTTTGTAAAACTTTTTTTTCTTCAAAAATGGCTTCATTCCTATAGAATTGTATTGGCACTTATCCTTCGACTGAAAAATAACCTATTGCAGTAAAATATATATGCATATAAAAAGACAGCCAAAAGTAAAACGGTCAAGCTTGCGAATTCAAATTATTCCAACTTTTCAATATTAGTTTAAGAACTTATTTTATAAAATGAGATTACCATTTCGCTCAAAGCTATTCATTTTATGGTCATCAGTCAAACCATACAAATACCAAGAACATCTATTTTGAATTTGCTCTGCACATTTTTGGAGCCTAACCTCAATCTTTCCACATTATACCACAAAACATTACCCACGGTTTCATCGAATTTGCATGATGGGGGGAAAATGAAACGTCCGAAACACGGTTAACTCTGCAATCATCAGTCTAAATAAGTGGATTTGAGGCGGGCCCCTGGTGTAGGACAGATGGTTGGTTTGTTCCACAGTACCTTGGCAACGATGAGATGCCATTACCCCGGGAAGAGTGCCAAAACGGGGCTAACGCGCACACCAGCAAGCACCTCTGTCTCTCACTGGTGCCAAGACGTCCCAGAGAGACGACGAGCGCTAATGGAGGCTGTATAGAAGTGGGGGTCCTGGCTAACCGCTCAGGACATGACATTTGGGAAGCAGAGGATTTAAACAAAGTCCTAAATTTGATATAGGTCGTTTTCAGTGGAGAAGACACATTTGGAAATTGCACAGACTGTAATAAGATTTCATAAGTATATTCCCAAAGAGGATGTGACTTCATTGGGTAGTTCAGCACAACGTGTCGTCATTTGTACTGTCCATAAATGTCATGCTAAATTTATGTTTGTTTCATATGATGGTGGTGGATGAAGTATAAAAGGACTAAAAAGTGTAAAAAGTATTATATCCAAATTACTTATACAGAAGTTTAGCTGCATCCATTGGAAAATGCAGTGTACTTAACTAAATATAACACCTGATTACTTACTATAAACACAAAACAACTTATTTATTCCATAAAAGACAAAAATAAAACAAAAACATCACTAAGCAATTTGATTAAAGAAGCTATACCCGATTATTCTTAATGAGTTCATAAAATTCGTATTACTACATACAAGTTGTAATATAATCCGTAATTTAATTGAAAACTTAAGCTCATTGATTCAGTTTGTGTATGAATGCAGGCCGTAAAAAGTGCTGAGTAGAGACTTAGCGTGACGCCCGCTCTCCTCCAATCACAGAACGAGGCTGCGTCCTCTAGCCTCTACAGCGCTGCTAAACACAGTAGCATGTTAGCATAAGTGGCTATAACTCCTCTGGCTGTAACTGCATACACAGCAAAACAGCCCAAACGACACAACAGTGAGGAAGAGAAGAGGAAACTAAAGCCAAAAAATGATCAAAGAAGAAATCAAACTCTGGTGAACATAGCAAGCTTACATCGTATCCTCTGGAGAGACTTGTCTCTGGGAGAGACCTGCGGGACCGCCTCGGACTATCAATGCTCGGACTATCTATGCTCGGACTATCTATGCTCGGACTATCTATGCTCGGTGATTGTTGTACAGCTTACAAGAAGTTGCGCTCATGCTATGCTGTTTGCATATACTGTAGATCACAAATAAAACTAGATGGCTCAGAGGAATGAGAGCGTAGGGCAAATGAGAAGCCTGTGAGCGGAGGTGCTAAACATTCAAACCTTGCAGAAATGGGTATAGCTCCTTTAAGCCCAATTTATAGTTAGTTGCAATACAGATGGTGAATGTAAGCCCATCCGTTATTTGTTAAGAACTCAAAATCAAATCCAATTTATACTGTGACCATGAATGCGAAGATTAAAGCTTTCAAATGCAAAGTAAATTTAAGATATAAGATATATATATATATATATATATATATAATTATATCTTTAATAGTTTCCAGCACAGCATATGGAATAATCCTTTTATAAGTCTAAAAGCCATTCCTTGCAACATACAGCATTGCTATCTTTAAATCTTCTGAATGCATAACTTTTACTCGTATCATTTCTTAGCCAAGTGCTAGAATTTCTATTCCCGCCTGAAAACCTGTTACACATACAGAGAAAGCAGCCTGCAGGAAGCTTTTAAAAAAGAAGTATGTCTGTTAACTGTGCCACTTGTCTCCAAAAGGGCATAAACGCATTCAAGCTGCGAATAAAAGGAATACTAAACATGCCCATATTAAAGCACGCAGCCCCTTATACCGTTACCTTCTGTACTTGCTCTCCTCATCCCAGCCTCATCCATTTTTCACCAATCTGTTTCACTGCAGAGCCCAGAGCTGCCTGCTTTGATTAATAGTCAGGTGTCCCTGGATGTTTACTCCCCCCACCCGCCTCCTCGCACACCCATTTTTCCCTCTTTTCCAACACCATCTGGGGAGCTCGCACAGACAGACGTTTCATGGGACGGGTGCGCGGGTCGAGCCAAGGTCAGCCCCCATAGGAAGAGGGGAAGGGGGGGATGAGCGATGTCACCTGTACCCAGTGTCTCTAAGACGGTCCTGACAGGCCACTTAGACTTGAGTGATTCCTGTGTTGCAGTTTACAGATGTTTTGACCATGTACATTATGTCGAAGGCGTGGAGTTATTACTAGCTGTTCAACATGGAACAACCAGATGCAAGTTTAGTAAACCACAATTTAGAACCTTTTACATAAAGATCTATTACATTAAGATCAATAGAAGACATATTTCAAAATGCATCTTGAACGACTTTTAAATTCATGTCGCAGTCTACAATCAATCACAAATACTAATCACATTTATAGTATATAGTAGATATTCATTCAAAGTCATTTCATCGGGGCTACTGCTTGAACTATCCTTCCATCTATCTATAGCCGTAAACCACTTCCTTCTAGGAGGGTGGTTGACGACAGGACAAAGTTATTTAGAATTATTTGCATAATCTGGGACAGAAAAAATGCAATTTAGAAAAATGCATTTACCATTGAAGTAAGTGCTTATTTGTGTATTTGCCAATGTTTATCGTAATAAGAAATTAAAAACTTACGACAGGATCATAGAGTAAATGGAAGTAAACTGCCGGTAGTCAAAAGGCAGATTTTAAGCCATTTCTTGCAAAAAATAGTAATTTCTATCAACTTAAATGCATCTCAATACTTGTAATTGGACAGTCAGAATCATTCATAGCCTGATGCACAATGTTCACACCCTTTCAGTGATTGATTTGAATCCAACGATAACTGTCTACTCTGCTGTACATTCATCCAGAAAAATATGACAAAAAGGTCTCTGAAAACGAGATTTCAGAGACGTGATTTCACCACACACCTGTGCAGCCAGAACCCCCACAATGCAACTGGAGGGAGCGTGCATTGCAAAGTTAGCAGCAGGTGCACACTCGTCCTTTGCCTGAATTTCAAATCGAGTTGTGGAGTGTCGGAGATATAGTGGAAATAATTTGGCTGTTA